TGTTTTAAAGAAAAAATATCTAAATGAGCCAAGGTATTGTGCCTGTGAGCCCAAATGTCTTCTCGACTAAAACAAACTGAAGCGTTGCTTTCGTTTATGAGCAGAAACCTTCAGGAAGATGTCCAAAAGCTTCCAGCCACAAGAGCTTATTAGTCCCCAGTCGCTCCCCCATCCATCTCTGGCCCGTTTGTGATTCGTGGCTGCGGTGAGTTCATCCGTTCACTGGAAGCTCCATCATCGCTCCTGTCTAATGGACAATTAGGAAACAAAGCCAAATGGTGTTTTATTTTCCTGCCACGACTTCTGTTCACTGATTTATTGAAAGCATCTGGTCAGATCCACTTCTATAGGTGACACTGGGGTAAAGTGACGGGGGTGACATGTATAGATCATGTAACAAATACATTTTTATCTATTAGTACTGAAATAAACAAGATGTAGAGCTACAGTAACTCTGAACAGAGTAATTCAGCAGAATGCTCCTGTGTTTTGTTCAGATGTGAGTGGGATTTTGTGGATTTAGAAGAACAACAACAAAAGGCAGGAGTGGGAGTACAAGGAGCTAGCAGAGGAGTGAGTGGACGTCTCAGCCGCTCTATTTTAGTAGTCTCGTGGTCAGTTTGCCTAAAACAGAGACAAAAGTAGTAGTGCTAGCATTGGCATATGTTCACAATGTGACTGATTTCATTTAGGATGTTAGCAAAGTATAGCAATAGTCCTAAAATACATCTAGGATCTGCTTTGAGTCAGAGTCAGAGATTCTTTATTGTCATTAGCACCTCATGTGGTACATGTGGTGGAGCAAAATTATGTACACAGGTTCCAGTTACATCCAACAATAAAATGTATAAGAAAAACAGTAATAACATCTAAGATATGAACTAAGAAAAACATCAACTAAATATACACTAAGCACTCATAACATAAAACATTGAACATCAGCACAAACATGAACATGAGTCTGTGAGCAGATGTGCACGCATGAACACATCAACACTGAAACAGATCAGCAGCAACATGAAACAGATCAGCAGCAACATGAAACAGATCAGCAGCAACATGATATGGTTTTTCACAGTGATTATTCTAGTTAGAGATTCATGAGTCTAACAGCCTCAGGGTAGAAGCTGTTCCTCAGTCTAGTGGTTCTACACTTAATGCTCCTTAACCTCCTTCCTGAGGG